TATAATTCACAAAGATTCATGCACTTTACTTATGGTCACTACTGCTCACTTGACTCAATTATCTGTCACTATATCTCTATCTGCAATTATATCTCCGCTTTATTTGCCAGGCTTATATACAAAAAATAGAGGGCATCTGGCAAATGCTACAGTTGCCAGGAACAGTCATTATCCTTCTAGAAACTCGTGACGTGTTACCAGCATTACGTGCCTTCCGCTGTCATAACAATATTTACACTATAGCATGTGGTCTATACAGATAATATCATCATCACCATTTTAACTTTTGTTTACTTGCAATTGGCACTATTTATTATAAATAACACTTTTAAACTAATAAAGTACAAAATATCATTACATAATGTTTTGGAGGCAAATATAATCGGAATGAAATAAATTCAAACAATCAAAACTAGCACAATTATAACCTAACCAAATTTAAGGTACTCTTTTGAAACACACAACTTATTAAATCATTATTGCTGAACAAAAGTAGTGAGCAGTTAGTCCAACCTTTATTTATATATATATGTTTTTTTTAATTAATCAATTTCAGTACACTGTATTTTGAGTTGTGTTGCAATTTAACTCGTACTGAAATCTTTTATATGAATTTTCTTTTTTTAGTTCGCAGACCTTGTTATAGTAGAGACTATGGCCAAGGAAGTATTGTATGTGTTTGTAACTCAACATACTGTGACACATTTAGGCCTCAACTCAAGCCAAAACCAGAAATTCTGACAGTGTATGAAAGTAACAAAGAAGGGAAGAGATTTTATGAGAAAACTGTGAAATTCACATATGGATCAAACCTATCTGGTAGATTTCAAAGTGATTTTTTGATACAAGTTTTAGTTGCAGTCCTCTTTTGAAAAATCTTTCAAAAACTAAAATAAATAGTACAGTGTTGTATGTTTGAACAAAATTTGAATCATTTAAAATCATTTATTTATGTGTATTGAATGAAAATTAGTTATATACATGTCGTTGTGTAATATTCATTTACAATACTGAAACCAGAACCATAATCAGAAGAGAGGTTCCTATAGAATTACTCTTTTTATGACACTATAGATACAAATGTAGTTTAAAACTGGAAGAAAATAAAAAAATGGCAAAATATGGCTTACTGTCATAAGTTTAAGTATTACTCAAAAAATTTATTATGAAATTTTACAGAAAAGTTGACTTCTGAGCTCACTTGATTGAGTTATGTCCTCAGTCTCTTTACAAGTAGACTGTGTTTATCATTGGCTTACATAAGATGATAAAAATTATGTGAATGGACAATTATGTTAAGTTCGTTCTTCTACTCTCGATCTGGTAATTCTAAAGCTGTATCATGAAACTGTAATTTTGTGTGAAGAAAATACAAGTAAATAGATTACTATACTTTCTATTTTCTTGTTTTAAAAATACATTTTGACTGTATGTGCAGGTATGCCTTAAGAACATGTTGAAACAGCTGTTGTGGGATAAGTGTTTTTCAATTGAAGACAAAACTACAGATATGTATAGTGTACATACTTCACATTTGATTGTTAAACTACAGACATGTATAGTGTACATACTTCACATTTGATTGTTAAACTACAGATATGTATAGTGTACATACTTCACATTTGATTGTTAAACTATAGACATGTATAGTGTACATACTTCACATTTGATTGTTAAACTACAGACATGTATAGTGTACATACTTCACATTTGATTGTTAATGGATTTCTCTTTGCTACGATATTCATTTACAGTTCTATATTTTATACTAGTGGTAAAATTAGTTTTCCTTAAGAAATTTTTGTCAAGATTTTTGTGTAAAAAATCACTTATGCTGTCATGAATAAGCATGATGTATCAAGACTTTAATTTGATTTTTCTTGAATAACATTGGTATGAGACTTGCAAAGCTCAAATAAAAACCTGTAAGTTCACACTCATATTTACCATTATTATTATTATTAACTTAATTGTGGAAAAATACAAGCTTGTGATGTAGTTTATGATGATGTAAAATTATAATATTCTAAACTCTGAGGCTCTTGCTGTAGCTCTGAAGATGATAAATCTGTTATCCACTTACCTTCTGAACCATAGAGATTTAAAGGACTCCAGCTACTCTTCTAGCCACTTTATTTCATTAGCCAAAGGAGTCAGTTTGAAGAACTTAACTGTACCATTTACTTGATTACAGAGTGTTGTTGAATATAAAACGAGTTGTTTTGGTTGTTAAATTCATAAAGTTGACAAACATGTTTAGAAAACTATATATTTTTAGTCATTGTAGGATGAGTTTTGGTTGTTTGGTGTCTTCTATAAGGATATTATTATATAAAAAACTATAAGTACATCAAAACTTGTGTGATAAACAAGTTTTGTATTCCAACTAAAAATTAAAACTATCTTTTAAAACATCTATATTATTAGCAAATTTTCCCAACAACTTAACTAAAAACCTGTTACAGCATAATTGTGGATACTGATGTTTGAAATTATTGGACCAGTGGACATCTTTATGTACCTCAGGATGTCCATAATACTTTCAAAGATGACTTTTTGATGGTCTGATATCTACATGTCATGTTTGAGTTAATACATTTTTAGTTTCAAAAGAGATATCATCATAATTCATTTTCTGTTAAAGCAGGTTGTTTTACCCTTTATATACACATAATGTGAATGCATGCAGAACAGAATTGTTTCTGAACACACTACTCATCTCTTCACAGAAGAGATAGCTAATATCCCTTGCCAGGTCTTTGAATGAGATCTCTCCCCCTTAGAGAAGTATAATGTAGTCTGTTTTTGGTTTTAATGTTTTGAATTAGGCCTTATACCTTATTTTATTCGTAGATTGGAGGTTTCTACAGTGTGTTATAAAAAATGCCTAGGCCTCTTGTATGTAATTGAAGTCCTTACAAAGTCGTAGCTGTTTTGTCTATAAAATGTTCGAGGTTATTCTTTGTGTTTCTGGAACCGTGTATTCTGTGAAAGGTGGTGTACAACAAATTTATAATCTGTATGGGAAACAACTTTTTAGTAGCATATATGGTAATGTAAATATATATGTGTTTTGAGATAAGGATTCGTCTACAGTAGGTACCTGTAACTTATTGGTGATAAATTTGACAATAAATGAACAGCACACACTGTACTTGTTTTTAAAATAATTTATATATTCTGGAACTGTGTATTTTGTGAAAGGTGGTGTACAACAAATTTATAGTCTGTGTTGGAAACTTCTTTTTAGTATCATATATGATAATGTAAATATATATGTGTTTTGGACTAAAGATTCATCTATAGTAGGTGCCTGTAACTTATAGGTGATAAATGTGACAATAAATGAACAGCACGTACTCTACTTTTTTTTAGAATAATATATATATTCAAAATAAGTTAAACGTATGTACAAAATTCTTTACACTATGGAGATCACAGTTGTATCTTAAACATTATATAGTTCTCTTCCTGTTGTCAAAAGTCCACTTAGGCCAATTCAATTGCTTTAGAATTCAGTTGACAAGCTGAACTATTTTTCTGTATTTTTATTGCAATAGTATCCATGTATAATTCACTTACGCTGTCGCATGAGTTACTGCAGTTGTCCTGAACTTCCAATAATCATCTTTTTTTTTGTACTTCCAATAATTGTCTGCTCTTTGTACTTCTAATAATCGTCTGCCTTTTGTAAACGTCCACACAGGTGGGTTCAATTAGTTTAGAACACCCTTTGACATGACAAATTATTCTCATTATCTCTCTCAAAATCTCACTGTAACATATCAACCATTAGGCCATTCATTCCCATGATGGTTAACTTTGTTTTCTAACTTTTCTCTGACTGAACTTCTCTTTCATGTGACTACTTTTACTCTCTTTCTGCTCGTCTGGTCGCAGCTATTTATACGTCTATCACTTGGGCCTTCTAGAAATCTCCATAGCCTTGACATCAATGAATTACAATCACAAAATTAATTCATTAATAATACTACCTGCACTGAACAGTCTTTTATATCTGACAGTCTGACTTTCATTGTAAGGATTGGTTAGGAAGAATTATCTAAAAAATAAAGTATTGGCAATTCTTTTAAGATAGAAATTTATAGTTAGTTGGTGACTCAAATCAATGATCAATTACTTGTCCCAAGAGTCTGAGAAGATTTCTTAAAATCCTGGATTGTTGTATTGTGTTTTACTGAAGAGCTTGGAAAACTGTAATAATGATCAAGCTATTGAGTAAGATCTGGAATTATTTCTAGAAGAAGCTAGTCAATTTCAGTGGTCAGTGAGTGCACATTTTGTAACGAAACACAGGCCAACAGTGCTACTCAAATGATGAAGCACCTCATAATTACCAACCAGTATTTTAGGTATATGTGAACCTTCAAAATGTCAAGTGAGCATGACAGGTCAAAGTGGAGTGGTGGGTCATCTGCAACCATTCTGGTGTGTTAATACAATGATCAAAGGTGACAAATCAATGCTGTGTGGAAGGGGTTCCTACCTTTGGCAGCAGTAGAAGAGTGTTTGATATTTTTCAACCATTAGAATTTTTTGCATTCATTCTGTTCAACTAGCAGCTTATCAGGCAGATGGTAGCACTGCCTATGTAGGGATGACTCGGATTATTCATCAAAATGATATTTTAAATATCTCTTCAAAAGATCATCAGAACTTTACAATACTATACAGTGTTTCATTTTATAAC